TAGTGCCGTTGCTGGGGCTCGAACCCACGACCTTTGGCTCTCCAGCCCAATGCTCTACCACTGAGCTAAAAGGAAATTCCCTACAGCATACACTTGTAATTAAGGCAACCTAATCAATGCACATCTTTTACATATATATATATATATATTCAGTCCAACTTCAGAACAATGTAAATATAACTCTGTATTACTTTTTAAGTGTATATATATACTGTGTATACCAATCCAAATTATATACGCTGTTTAGTGTATACATTGCACATATTACCTCTCATAATAAACTCTGCAGACAACTACTGTTTACATACTTAATACTTAGTATGTGTTCTCTATATACATATACTCTGTATATCAACTTTTTACATAAATAACAAGAGGCCTGATCAGGAACAGTTCATCTGATTTTTTTTTATTTCAATTTAAAACCTGTGAAATAGCATACTCTTTATATCAAGTGTATGGGTTCCCTATATAGATAAAAGAAGTCGTTTGAAGTGTTGAAATATTTGACCCCTGTGACCTCAAATATAACTGAAGGTAATTTTTGTAAGCAAACTTTGTCAAGCTCTATCCAAGGGAGCTTAAACAGCCAAATATCATGATTTTAGGAATTTCATTTCTTCAGAAGTCATTTGAATTTGTTTACCTATTTGACATCTGTCACCTTGACAGTAAGTCAAGTTCACTCTTGTATTTCAACCAAATGTACTATGAAGTATGCATCCTTAGACCTGGGAGTTTTAGATGTTATGCAAGAGACCAAGAGGGCCTGTTTCACTCACTTTTAGTAGGATGTAGTGAAATATCCTCATTAAAAAATATATTGAAGTTAAGACACTAGGCATAAACTCACATTGTACCATCAGACCAGGTAAATAAATAATGAAAGGTGTAGCCCCAATTTGCTACTGATAAGCAAAGCTAAAAATAGCTTTAATAGAACTATTGATGAAAGGATTTTTCAATGATTGCACATGCCTTCTGGATGACTTGTTTTCATTGACAGTATATATTATATATCCTATATCTCTTGACAAGAGAAGAAATAATGTTATTAGTAAGATTATTAAGTTACATGAGGTGTGTAAAGAAATCAGAGAACATGTATAAAAGTGTGATAGTATATGTACTGTACATGTGTTAACTGTCTGTGATTGTATATATATATACATGTGTAATACCTGTCTGTGATCACATGTACATGTGTGAGACCTGTCTGTGATAGTGTGTACATGTGTAATACCTGTATGTGATCATATGTACATGTGTAATACCTGTCTGTGATAGGGTATACATGTATAATACCTGTATGTGATCATATGTACATGTAAAATACCTGTCTGTGATAGTGTGGACATGTGCAATACCTGTCTGTGATAGTGTGTACATGTGTGATAGTGATAGTATGTGTTATAATTGTCTGTGATAGTATGTATGGGTATAATAACTGTGTGTGATAGTATGTATGTGTACAATAACTGTGTGTGATATGTATGTGTATAACAACTGTGTGTGATAGTATGTGTGTAATACCTGTGTGTGGTAGTATGTGTGTAATACCTGTGTGTGATAGTATGTATGTGTATAATAACTGTGATAGTATGTATGTGTATAATAACTGTG